GTGGAACCAAGCTGTAATAAGAATTAAAAAAATAGTAAAAAAGATGACAAATCTAATGGTTATTTACATAGTGGAATCTAGTTACCGTCAATAAACGAAGAATAATCACATGTATATGCCTGTCTGCTTTGATTGGAACTTAGTAACTAGTGCGACGTGTCTAGTCCTTTCTTTGTTGCAAACTGAAATCTATCGGTCGGGTTTGAAATATATCCACCATTCTAGGTAGATCGTCATCCCGGTGCATATTGATTTGATGATATCAAATGGTTGGAGGCAATCGACAAGAAGCCTTGGACCTAGGTTTCATGCTACAGTCCCTTAGGGGGCCAACCGCAAGCCTGAATAGCTCAGTGATGACATCTCTGACTGCAGCACTGGGTGACGTGGGTTTGAATCTCAGAGGGGAGATGAGTTCCTTCAAGTTTGCGGATACACCTTGCTGACTGACGAGTGCCAACTAGCACGAAACCTAGGTCAAGAAAGGCTTCCTGAGGTCGATTGCCTCCAACCATCTAATATATGCTTGTTTTTTCGGAAGACAGTTAGAATGTTGACCTGGTTTAGTAACTCAACTGACAGACTGTTCGGTTGGTAGTGCAAGGGGCTCTGGTTCGAATCCCTCCATAACCTAGCTTCACAACTTACTGTCACCTACAGGTAATCAAAGTGATAAATAAATCTCGATGTCATCTCAGAAGTTACAACGTTTGACCAGCAAACTTTTGTTTAGATAATATAGAAAGCCAGATTTTCACTTCATTACAAGTCTACAGAATAAACCTTATCTTTGATGGAAACATTAATATTACCTTTCTTCTCTTTAGAATTAGAATGTATAAGGTAGCAAGGCGGAGGTTAGCAGAGGTGGATTGAATAATCACGATGGTGGCAAAATCGTCAAAACGACTATAGTTTCGATTCTGTTGTTACCTCAAAATTATTTTCAGATTCAGTCATTTTGAATCTTCAGGTACTTTTTAGGTCAGACTATTGATATCCTCCGGTTAACAAGAATGTTTATCAGTAGATATGGGTTCCGGAACATACTACATACTGCTTACAATATTATAGATATGCAAAAACCGACTAAAATCACTTTATGTTTCAAGTCAGATAACGGAGTACTGGGCAGCTGTTTCGTCCTAGTTTGGGGCTCTTTGTCGGTTCGCACCTATCACCCCGCTATCGATCGAACCAAGGACCTAAAAGTCTCAGGGTGTATCTGTTGACCGTTCAGCCACTGAGAAAAAGTCCAATAACCCACGAAATCTTACTTCTGTCAATTCGCTGAATGGTTATTTGGGCTCACTCTGTAAAGTGAATTTCGTGGGATCATAGGTGAGTACTGTTAAAAAGCCCCAAACTAGGGCGAAACAGATGTCCAAAAATACCTGGTTATCAATAGTTCCCTTTCTGACTTTATTCCATAATCTAACTTGCATCTAATGAAATCAATGAAAACCAAGACTTGAAAATCATTTTATAAGCGCTGACAAGAGCCAAGAAATTAACAGTTTGGGGCTCGAAGTAATATAAACATTTCGTTTTCAAATAAACCGCTTATCTGATTATACATTTGTGGGACATTATCAGACGTGGACTCATTTCAGATCATTAACCATAATAAACCAAAACCAGAAACATAAATCTTGTAAAACAGACAGCAATAAGCGGCGTCATTATAGTGCTGAAGAACACCTTTGCCTAACTCACTGAAGACTACTAAGCAATAAGCACAGGCTAATAAAGCTGTACAACCGAACCGTTGACTAGTTCTAGGTAGTGGTTATTCTTAGGATCATCTTGCCAAAGTTCTAACATACAGCAGCGGTTTGTGTTATCGGTCAAGTAGGGTGTGAGTATGATAATAATACTATGCAGAGGATTACCAAAATTTAGAAATTTATTCGAATAGAACGTCAGTTATTACTGCAACTCTTATTATAGAAGTAGAAGCATTATGTGTTATGGCACTACAGGGGAAGTGGGTATGTTTAAACTACTTACACTGGTTCACAGATTTCCCTAAACACCTTATAGCAGTCCAGATATAAGAAGGCTTTTTCACTACCTTGATATTACTCTGATAATCTGTGCATCAGGAAAAAAATAATAAAATTATATAACAATTAAGGTTATTCGACAGGAAAGTTGGTTAGACGTTTTCAAGTAATTTAAACTACTAATCATCTGTATCAGATGAATTTTTCATATGCTCATCTTACATGCCTAAGCAGCTTAAAAGGTGACTCAGATAGGCTGAATCGATGGGATAGTCTGCAGTCGCTTCTGTGATACACTTCCATAATTCATGGTATTCTCCTGTCAAGAGATACAGTGTATGATTTTACCTGGTTGATTTCCAATACAGAAGTCAACGACATTACTAACAGGTACTTTTATAGACAAGAGTTAATTATTAATTAACTTTACTGCTATGCGTTCCAAGAAGAACATAGAGCTTCAGGCTTCAGCTCTGAAGTTTCAGTAGCAGTATCTTTTCATACAGGAGTGATGCTAAACTTCCGCCCAACCATCCCTCCTAAATAGCCCTACATACTCCTAGTATAGACAAGTTTAGGAGTATGTCCACCGTAGGTGTGAATCCCCGACCATGTCCGCAGTTGTTTGTTACTACACCAGTGAACCATCAGTAAGAAAAGTTGTCATTCAACAGTTTCATTCTGATTGCCATATTTTGTTTTATTTATTACTCGTTAGAAGTAAAATTCATCCAACTACTTTACAAAATTGTTTATTCTAAAATAACAAGTTTCTCACAGTAAAATATGACGTAGGAATTTCAATTTATACACTGAGAATCAAATGGCCCGTGGAAAGAATTAGCAACAAGAAATTCTGTCAAGAAACCAACTGAGAGCCCTTTGCTCAACAGATATATCGTAAAAAATGTAAATGTATCGGGCGTACGCTGAGGAGGCTGACGAATGACATCGCACACAATGCAGGCCATCGCTCGAGTGGAATCCCAATGGAAAGCAACCAGTAGGTCGTCCTAGGTAGATCGTGTGTTGAGGAAAAGACGAGAGACTATAGTCATTCGTGGACCCAGCTGAAAAGGATAACATGAAATAGAAGGAAGTGGAGATGTATTGTTAACCCCCTATGCTCCACTCGGAACCCAAGAGAGCAATAATAATATACCTACACTACAATAATAAGCACGACTTCCCGGATCGAGAGTGGATTTATTTTCTCCTTTGAAGACGATTTTGAACCACACCACCAATAGTCTCAAGCAATTGACTCTAGTCACCTCAAAGACAGTGACTACTAGGTGGTCTCCACCTCTCTCGAACCAGTAAACGAAGACTTCATGGAATGACTGCCCCTAATCCTTTTCCGACCAAAATCTTTTATCAGCTAACATTTTTTCATGAAGAAGGCTTATCTTATATAATACGTGTTTTGGCCATCTCAGTTGATGTAGCTTTACAACTCCATTAGTTGTTTCTCTCTCCTTACCTAACACTTTATGTGTAACCTCGATATTGTTCTCTATATTCTACCTTTTAGCACGGGAGATAAGACACAAACAACTGTGGTCATAGGCAGTCATCTTCGTCAGGCATTCCTCTTCTAAGTACTACGTCTCTCAGTTATAGCTGAACACAGTACACACCTCCATTGATGGATAGCTAGATATCACATCTAAGTTAATACAACAATTATAAGTCATGTAAAAAAACAGATAACGAAAGTGAATTTAGATATCTGAATTTTTTGTATTATGGTTCGTATTTGCAGTTTACTCTTGTTTACTTTATCAGATCTAAATAACCTTGTTGTGGTAGACTTCCCCATGAACCCAAACCACCTTGAGAACAGTTGAAAAACCAGCGAAAGCTGGATAGCTGTTTCATTCACAATCTAACTCAAAACCTCTGATCTACAACAAAATGGGTCTAATTTAGCATACAGTGAATTTGCTTTTTTTCCTAAATTTAGGAATGGTTGATGACTTTTGTTCATATGGCCGGTAGTGATAAAATGCAATTGTATTTACGAATGAATGAAGTGACAGTTAAAGCATGCATTTGTTCACGGTCGGCTGTATTTCTCGTTGACTGTTCATACTGGACTGAAACGCTTGGATTCTGTCGACATGTTACCTCCTATTTCTACTACAGGCACTTCGGCAATTTCTGAAGACTCGCATGATGTTATTTTCGTTGACTGTGACTAGCAGTATAATACAGGATGCATGTTTTGTCAAATTCCATATTAGTTAGCTGGATGCACCGGCAACCTTGGTGACCGAAGATTTTGGTTCAGTATAATTATTCAACTGGTAATTCAGCTTAAATTGAACAAATAATAGTTGGTGACACTCATGGCCCTGTAGTCTAATGGATAGCACTTTGATGTTTGAAATGGTCACTTTAGGGTTCCATTCCAAGTAAGAACACCATCACTCATTAGGAATGCAGGAATATCCTGCTAATGAATTACAAATAGAATGAAATGTGCAGCTTGGATTCCGCTACTAGTCAGAATCAACTAAATATGAAAAACATGCGCTATTAGTCATGAAGTCTGCGACTCATCGGAAGTACGCACGCACAGCCACAGTTCAGACCCAGGATCTTCTGGCTATAAAGCAAGCTCTTACATCGTTCGTCCACAGAGACCCGACTCAGAGTCATCGGAGTTCTAGTGAGAAGTTGTAACCAGTGAAGTCCACCATGTCAACCATGAGGACAAATACTCGACAACGATAGCGTTGACAGATAGTCTCCCTAAAATCAAGAAGTGGTAGAAGTTTGGATACATGAGCTGGCCATTGATTTAAATTCCAGTTACCGAATGGTCTATGAGCTTGTCTTGTAGCAGGAAGATCCTGGTTTCGGACTGTAAAGGTGGGAGCGTATATCTTGAATAAAAGTGTCAAATAACTGTCTTAATTCTTCTACAGTTATCTTATACACCATTTATACTTCTTTTCTATTTGCTTTATTATGAACAAATTTCAACAGTCAACGATAGAAGTTTCACTACGCTACCAAACTCCTCCAAAAGCTCCAGGAGCCTTAGCAAGTAAGTTCATTAAAATTATCAATGTCATTAACATGATTATTATTACTATTATTTAACTGGTGACGATTAACAATGGAATTTATGAAACGCATGTCGTCTTGCATTCGGCCCGTCAACTAGGCATATCTGCATTCCCAGAGAGTGGTTATAATGTTCTCACTGTGAGTCGAATCCAGTATGCATGATTTGAAGCACTACAGAGTTAGCCGCTAGGCATTAGAAATCTTCCTTTTGTTTCTCATAACATATTTTGACTCTTGGTTTTCTGAGTAAAATACAGACACGGAGAAAGAGATAGACAGAAGTATTCCAAATATATCATCAAACAATCACTATAATTTAATGATAGTTATCTATTATTATATTATTATTGTTCCCTTGGGTTCCTAGTGGAATATAGGGCTTCAACTGCACCTCTCCACTTGCCACTTCTGTCTTCTGCTGCTGTACTTTTCACCTGCATCCATGTCAGTCCATACTGTTTCAACTCCTCTTCACACCATCTCCTCCATCTCACCCTTCCACTGACGTCCCACTCGCCGCGTGCTTCCCTTTCGGTCTGGTTTCACTCTAGCAATGGCCTGACGCGCGCGATGTCACCCAGCAACCTCCTCAGTGAGTGTCCAATCCATCTCCACTCCATCTCCTGCATATTTGTTGGTTGGCGATTGGTTCTTCTTTTGCTTGTTTGTTCCCATAATTTCTTGTTGGTGATTCTTTCCTGCCCGGCCATCTGATCTCCAGTATACAGCCAAGTTTCTGATCCGTATAGAAGAACTGACTTGAAGTTTGTATTGAAAATCCGAATTTTGTTGTTGATGGTGGCTGAGTGACGAAGATTTCCAGATTAGATTGGTTTCAGGTTGATGAATGTGTTTCTCGCCTTCCCGATTCTCTCTCGATTTGACATCCTCGTCCGTTCCGACTGCCTATAGTTGAGACAATGCTCTCTAGATAAGTGAGTGAATGAAGTAGCCTCTTTCAAATCCCTCCCGTTGATGGTGATTGACGCTGGATGTTACTGCTGCTGTTGTTGTTGGTGGTGGTTGGTTATTTTCATCACCAGACTCCGTCTTGTCTATGTTCATCTGGAGTCCTGTCTTCACCGGCTGCTTCTTCGACCAGTTTGTCGGTTTTCGCTTGCTTGTAAGTCTTTGAATTTGTGTGACATCAAACATAAATCATCCACGCGCGAAATCCAGGTCTTCTAGGTTCTTGACGTCGGTCGGTCCAGGATATCCCTGTCTTCTCGTTTCCCACTCACTGTCTGACGCATAATCCAGTCAGTCCACCACAATTAGGAATATCATCGTGGGTGATAATAATCACCCTTGTCTGACTCCTGTGCTTACACCAAACGCGTCGCTGAGTTTTCCGTTGTTGATCACTTGAGATGTGCCGTTGTCGTACAGCTGTTGAGTGAGGTTGATGAATATTTGAGGTACGCCATAGTACTCGAGTAATTTCCAAATTACTTCACGATCAACACTGTCGAATGCCTTCTCAAAGTCTATAAAGCTGAGGTAGAGGTTTGATTGCCATTCCATGCTTTGTTCTGTGATGACGATGCGTAGAGTCCCAATTTGGTCAGAAAATGATTTGCCTTTCCTGAATCCTAAGTTATCTAAGGAAACATTTCATTCCCATACGTTTTATATTTCACGATTTCGACTAAATTTCGTATTAGATTCAGTCATTAAACAAAAAAGACTGACTAGATAATTAGCTGATATGAAGTGGCACTGAATGCCTGTTTTGTTCCTGCTTGGGACTTTCTTGGTAGCACAAACTTTCTCAGTGGAACATGGGGCTTCATGATAGAGGCTTGACGTTTTTGGTAGCCGTGATGCTTTATTTTTTATGGACTGGGGTCGCTAGCCTCGCGCCCAACCTTCCTTCTTTATCAGTCTTATTACTGGCTTAGCGAGGCAAAGGAATGCGCCAGATGGGGCTCGAACTACGGACCACCTGCGTGGTGGGTGAGGTTTCTACCGTTGTGTCGCCTATGCCAGAAAACTTTATAATACACCATATTCGTGAAATTCAAATAACTAGGCGAGAGTGTTTCCACTTTTCATTAGTATGAAATTCACTCATGGACTAACTTTAGTTAGAGAACCATTGAAAATTAGAGAAGTGTAGGCATTTGTTTTTTCCCAATTTGAGTCCCATCAGTAGTATGCAGCAGGACCCAGGAATTTCAGGTTTCGAGGTTGACACATTTACTGCTCAACCCCTGAGATGGTATCTAGTGATCTATTAATGCTAATTTATGCCACATGACGTTATAAAGCGCCCCTGGCAACCAATATCGCCGGCGAATATTTTTCCCTACACTCATCTTGTTAAATCCTTCTGATCACATCTTCTCACTGGAACTTCGAAAACTCCATCCCGCTGTTAGTCATCTGTGCGCATTGGATTATTTTTCAATTTTTGATGTCACCTAGTAGCTCTGTTACAATAGCAGGTGAACAATGTTAACTTAAACTTCTGCCTATTCACTGCTAAATGCTGTCACATACAAACATATAGAAAAACCAGTGATCTGTAAATACAGCCCAATAAAACTTATAATTATAGATAAAAATCATGTAAATCTTGATTGCGTAAGACCAAACAAAAAAGAGATCAGATCACGTTCAATTTCATCTTTTCGATTGACATTGTTATGAATACATCAAAATATGTAAATATTATCGTAGCACAATAAATTATTGTCGGTTGTGATGAACACGTGAAGAGTACTCACGTTAATTAAAAAAACAACCTTCATTAATTGATTTATATAATTCTTATATTTTACTGCATATATACTGCAAAACATATGACTTGTATGCAAATAATGATTTTCTACACTTAAGATAGGTGCGTGAATGTACAAACAACATTTCAACACTTTGAGATAAACAAAGTTAAGTCTGCATGAATTGACTGTAGGTTAACTTTCATCACAAACGAAAGGTATTCAGAGAGCCGTTGAAAACTATGGAGTACTGAACATCGATTTCGTCCTGTTTAGAGACTCTTATGTAGTGCGTAACCATCGCTCAAAGTAAGATAGAACCCACGGATATCCGTTTATGAGGTGAAAGTATTATCACTCACTAATCTGTAATCTGCCAACCCGTGAAACTGTGCCACCGCCATCCAAAATCAGTTTTATATACCCAAATAGTCATCATCTATCAGTATGACAGTTAGATGTCCTACGTGAAGTTTGAATACAAAATTTGGATCTAGGTGTGTTTCACTAACTTCAAGGTAGCCTCCAAAATCGTTGTGTACCGGCAAGAACTAAACTTAAGTTCAAGATCTGTTGTTAATCAATTCCTACCCGTCTAATGCTGAAATGCAATTTTAACACTCTCATAAGTGACATCATGGGAACAGAAAACACATTGTAAACCCTATTATTTCCTTTAGTTCCTAGAGGAACATAGGGCTTCAGCCGCGCGTTTCCATTGCGTTCGGTTCTCTGCCAGTGTTTTCACCTGACTCCAAGTCTGCCCACATGCTTTCATCTCCTCCCTTTCACATGACCTCCTCCAAGTCACCCTTGCACTGACGACCAACTCGCCGCTTCCCTTTCGGCCTGGTTCCACTCGAGCAATGGCTTGTCCAGTGATGCCACTTGGTGGTTTCCTCAGCGTATGGCCAATCCTTCTCCATTTTTTCTTGCCTATTTGTTTCACAATCGGTTCCTGGTTGGTTCGCTCATCACTAGAGATCCGTGTTGCTGATCTTTTCTGGCCAGCCATCTGATCTTGAGTGCTACTGAGCGAAGACAGCTGTTAATGAAGGTCTGAAGTTTGTTTGAGATGCTCTTTATGACGCGCCGAGTCTCTGATCCGTATAGTAGTACAGACTTCAGATTGGAGTTGAAAACCCAAAGCCTCTTTTATTTCCGTAATAACTACTAGGTTTTGTCGATTTATCTATAGTTTTTGTTCCTGCATTTATCATATGACTTCTGTCTGTCATTCTAAATTTGGCAAGGATTTTATTCTGATAAACTGACTACAGTTGATTGGCTGTTTTGACTTCTGTAATCGACCGCACAATGGTAACGTGATGACTTTTGTAGGAAACAAAATATTCATTATCTTGGAGTCAGTAGAACCAATCAATAAAATAACCAGATTTATTTTTATTATTATCACAAGATCAATTAAAGCAACAGTCTACTCTCAGTTAACCTAAAATTGCTACATAAAGTTTTTGCTGCCGCACTAACACTTTTCAGACATAAGCTCCACTTTAAGTTGTATTCACTGCTTATCTATATTTGTAATTTAAGTTCCCAGTGGAACATAGGGCTTCAGGCTAGAACCTTGAAGTTTCGATAGCAGTGGTTTCATTTTAACAGTTTGAGGTTGCTAACCACTGGCCTTAATACTGGCTCGCCGAGTTTTACGAGTGCGCTGGACAACCTGAGTGGTTAACAAGGGTTTTACCGCTGAACCACCAACGCAGTTATCTGTGTATAAGTATACTTTTCATGTATGCTCACTAACCATTTGACGGAATAATAGTCAAGCATTATTACATCATTCGTCTATTTCATGTCTGAGTTTAAATTGTTTGATTTACTAGTAAGATTTTAATTTTGATCATGGAATGACTTCAATTAGGGAAATAGGTAAAAATCAGGGAGTAATTAACAGTTGTATCGTCCTACTCTGGGATTCTTCAGTAGTACATACCCACCACAACAACACAAAATATCAAGCCCATGACCTTCAGGTTGCAAGGTTGATTTCCTATACCATTGAGTCGCTGGAACGGTATCCAATTGCCCATTAGTTTTTACGTCTGCCAGTTTGCGATACTTTAGTCCATAAGAATTATCAACTTTAGACTTAGGGTTTGTGTGTGTGAAAATACGAGTCTAAAGGTTATCAGAACAATTAACTAGTAGATGTTAGCAACAAGACATCTAGGTATTAAAGGAGGAGTGAAAATGATCACAGAATTCAAGGTCAGTTAATTCGTAGGAG